AGAAAAAATACGAACTGAGGCGCGAGGGAGGGTGGGTGGGAAGCTTTGCTGAGGAATAATATCACAGTTAATTAAAAGTTCCGGTGGCGACGCTCCTAGCTCGGCCATCTCCTCCGCTTGAGGATCAGATTTAGTCGCAACGCACGCATCTTTTTTGCGATACAAACACACACACACACACACACACACACACACATATGGACGATACGATGTTTCTTTCTTTTAACTCTTTTTTTTCTTTTTTTTGCGTTATTTTTCCTTTTATTTTGCATGCTCTGCGCGCCATGTTATAGGGGAATCATTTTTGTCGTCGTTGCACAACAGGCTTACGACTTCGCTCGCTTTAGCCGGCGATGCTGATTGCACAGACGATCGGAGCGTGGACATACGCCGTGGCAAAAACCAGTGAATTTCCAGTCGCGCACGCCGATTGTTCGCCGCGAGAGAGCAAGAAATTTCATAGCCGGCGACAGCTCGCTAGCCTAATGTAAAATATTCCCCGACTCGCAGGAAACGAACATCTCCCTTCTTTCCTCCGCCGTAACAGCTGCCGGTTCATTATAGCGCGAATATTACACGCTCCACGTAAATTTCATTAAATTCGCGTTGCTATTATTGCCACGTTAATTCGCGTGGTTTCTGACACGCCTCGTGTTTGACTGCTGCGACCGTGAGTATCGATTTTAGCGAACACCGTAATACAAAAATTTTACCCTTTCTCTCTCTCTCTCTCTCTCTCTCCCTCTCTTTAAATTCTCTATGATGCATTTTGAATTGCATTTTCGCTGCGTGATTCGTTGCGCGAGAAAGGGAACAACACAGCTCACGTAATAATGACTGTAACGAGGCAACGCTTGGTGTAAAAAGGATCGAGAGGATGAAATCGTCGAGGTCGAATTTGGAATTTACAAAAACGAGAGAGAGAGAGAGAGAGAGAGAGAGAGAGAGAGAGAGAAAGGGAAAGAGAGAACACTGATAATTTTAGCGTACTCGCGAGGGCTTTGACGAGTACGCGCATTTTCTCGTGTCTCACGAGATGGAAATATTACGTACGGAGACGCGGCAGATGCAACTCCTGACGGTAATGCGATTAAGTCTCGCGGTCACCGGATTCCTCTTCGTCGCCTAAAGGGGAAGATGAGTGATGGAGGATAGAGAGAGAAAGAAAGAGAATAAGAAGCGGAAGAAACCCTCCCGAAGATGGAGGAGTCCTGTTGCCCACACGTTGAACAGGAGGGAAGAGTGCGAGCGCACTTGAGCAAAGTATTATCCCGAGGAAAAGGAATAAATCCCACTTTTTCCCCCCTTTTTCCATCTCTTTCTCTAGTCGCGGATCACCGGTCGAAGATGTAACGATCGAAGCCGGCGATGCTCGTCCTCCCGAGAATGTTGACCTTGTTACCGCCGGCCGGGGGAGGAGGACGTAACGCGCCTTAACACGGAAATGAGGGGATTATCGTTCTTCGGGTCAACCGGGAGATTTCTGGGATGGTGACGCAAACGCGCGTTCCTATATCCGCCGTGTTACCGCGCAGAATGCCACGGTGGTCGGCGGTGACCGACGCCGTGATACCGCTATGCGCCTCATTAATTACGTATAAGACGTAATTAATTGCGTCTAACGAATTACGTGCGCAGCGCGGCCGAAACGGGGAACCAATGGTACGTGTTGAAAGATACGTACGCACCGAATGTGTGCGGCCGAAAATGTCGGGAGTTGCGCCGCGACTTGCCGCATTTTCGGCTGTTCGCTTTATCTAATCAAGGAGGCTGCATGGTGAAATGAATTTGACAAGAATCCCAGAAAATTTGCGTTCGCATTTACATTGATATGAACATTGACGTATTTATTATTTAACTGCTCGGGCAATTAGAAAAAAGATTGAAGGATGCTCGAAAGCTGAGGTATTTGCAGTTAAAACTGACACTTCTTATGCGTGTTCCTTCAAATTAGCGGGCTTTCTTAATTTTTATTTTTAATGTCTTTTAAATTAAAAATAACAATTCGACGAAAAACTACTATGATATCGAAGACTATATATATATATATATATATTAATTAATTAATTAAAACGAGACACCCTGTGTATATATTTACTTCAACTTCGTCTCAAATTAACATTTATCATTTAGATAGTAAAATAAAAGTATAGAGAAGTAATTTTTGTTTCGTAAACACTGAATTTATGAGTGGTTCTCTTTTGACGGGCTACTGAAAATACGACGGCTAAGCTTTGCAGCCTCCTTGAGAGATCGATTTAATTAATTCCGAGATATCGCTCGACCGATAATCAAGACTCAAACTCGCAATTTACCTCGCTCGAGGGGAAATTTATTCTACGGTTTTCCGTCTGATGAAATAATTCACCGGAACTGAAATATCAACGCGAAATAACCGTTACGCGACGCGCGTTCTCGCAAATTATATCCCGTCCTATAGTAAGTCCTTTCCCAGCGGTCGGCGCAGAAACTGGTCCAAGAGATCAAAGCACACATGGCTATATGAACCGTGTATAGTCCTTTAAATATATCCCGGCCGCTAACTTTTCACCGTTATAGAGTCCCGCGGCACTGATGAAACCTGGTCGAAAAGTTTGTCGCGCACCGCTCAATAACAAACACGCCTGCCGACGGTGGTTCCGCTGGGATAACTTCATTAAGCGACGCTGAATATCAAAGGTTAACGCGAGAATCTTATCGCACGCTAAGGAGAGACAGAGAGAAAGAGAGAGAGAGAGAGAAAAGGGAGGAACGAGCGCGTTCTCTGGGCGCGCGTGAATCTAATGACGTCTCAATAGTGACATAATGATACCAATTATACAGGAGGGTACGATTCCACTTCGGCGGGAAGACAACCCCGTTATCCAGTAATTATCGCTCCCCCACGATTTCTCCCTTACAAGAATTCTCCTACCTTATTCTTCAGCGGCACGATATCTCTTCGATCGCGCGCGGGTGCCCGCAAATTGACTTTGCCGCTCAAATTGAGCACCGGCGATTGATCGAACTGTCACTTGGCAAACTCCATTAAATCCACTGTGCCGGCTGTCCGTGCTACGTCTAATTAGCTTAGAGGGCCCGCGATACACGCTACTCACTTAGAATACGACGTGCGTTATCCACTTGGCAATCCATTCCATATCTCGATGACGACGTTAGACGAGATATGATTGAATTTAAAAGTGTAATAATAGGATTCTTTTAATTTGCAGCCGTAAAATGGGAGAAATACGATAAAAGCCAAGTACGGATCGCGGATGTTGGTTACGCACACCGAGGAAAAAGTGACCCGAGTCTAAATGTTAACGCTCTTGAGAGAGTTGTTGAATAAAATGGGGTTTTTATTAAGAATTCGTTGAAACTTATATAAAGATTTTAATATAATTATTATTAGCGCAGTTATAAGTAGATTGACCATTAGGGAGTTGAGATATTCGCAATTGAAGATACTTTCTGAAAACGTCTGAAAATTTCTGCGACATTAATGATTAATTTAGAGACTACTTAATGAAACTATTTGAAACAACGAACATTTTACCGAAATGATCAATGAATTACTATTGTTCATCGTAATTTTATCGTGAATAATTGTCATTTGGAAACTGACGATTATTTTACATCTCTAGTTGTGTTTGAGAAAAATCTTGCTCGGTCTTTAAGCAAAATTTTATCGATTATACCACTTCTCTTTTCTCGGTATATACTTTTTGTTTTATAATTACTATGCACAGGTGTAACTTTTTTTTTCACACGAATAGCGAATACGTGTTAAAACGCGAGCGGAAAATGCCGACCCTCTTTTTAGGTCATCCTCAGCCGAAGTTAAATCAATTGAATTTAATTCCAAGATAAAAACGTATCGAACGCCACTGAATTGAATAACATGGTGAGATATGAATCTTCGCTGAATCGGCTGTGCATTGCGTTTCACGCGGTGCCGCGTAAATCGCGAGATTTACGCGTATACAGCCTTCACATGCATGCTGCGCGCGGCGTTTCTTCAGCCGTTTGAATCCGGCAATGCACGGCGCGTTAGAATTAGGTGTTAATTTCACTGCTAATTTCCAGCCGCTTTATTTAATTACATATTTAGTTTGCTAATTACCGCCGACCGCGGTATACGGGGTACGTGATTAAGCGGTTACTATATAATTCAGCCGCATTCTGCGAATGCTATTACGACTCTCGTTGTAAAATATCCCGTTGTACAGTATTATCGGGGGAAAAGACCGCTTTCTCTCGGCTTTCCAAATAACGAGGGAGAAGGAGGGAGGAAACTCGAAATACGTACGCACATGTTATAAATATTGATAAGAAGGACGTGCTTTTATACAAACGGTGTGAATTTATCGGAGGGCTTGTAGGAACGCAAAATAAGTTCAATTTCAACTCTAACGATTAATAATTTATTCCCACTGTGATCACGATAGTATATGAAATGTTCATTTTCGCTGTTTCAGCGTCAAAATAGAATGTTCAAGATGGTTCAGGGTCACCAAAATCAGATCTGCAAAATTGAAGATTCAAGAGAGAAGTTAATGAGATGTTTCTATTAGGTTTCCTCCACAAGCCATCTATGTAGGCGTAAATTCTCCTTAAGGACTTCGTCGGTCGCAATATCTGTGAGTTATGCTCTCTAACTTCGAAATAGCGTCGCGATCAAACAGCGAGCATCACGCTCTCTTCTATGTTTCCTCTTCTCTTAACTTCTTCTATCTTTGAATATTGTCACAGCTTCGATCCGGGATTGCCATTTGTATCTTATAGACACGCCGCGACCGTTTCACGCAAGTTTCCTAATGTATTCTTCTTCAATCAGTTTTGCTTTAACCGATCGAACTAATTTTTTTTATTTTTGAACGTTCCCCTACCATCAGAATTTCGAGCCGGGCCGATAAGAAATTCCCCGGGAGGGAAGAATTGAGGAACACCCGAAAGCCTCGAATGAAATGATTCGACGAGCTCTCGTGTGTTTCACGAGGTTGTGTGTCGCGACAAAATGTGTCTGGTTGTGTATCGCGCGTATTAATCTGCATCAGATTGACCCGAGGAGTGAAACATATAGAACGTGATATCGCATGCTGATATTTTCCAAGCAATACGCAAACGCGAACGCCGGCGGTGAAAAAAGGCGAGCTGTGCAGGACGACAGGGCTCAAACGCACATTGTGCATTACGAGACCACGAGGCGTGCAAGGTGTCATATGAAACGCGCGAAAATGACGATGGTGATCGTGAGCTTAAAATATAACGCGCTTACCTCAAAGCTGAGAAGCCCGCTGTGATCCTGGTCCAAAGTATTAAAAACGTAATGCGCGTACTGGCTTGTATTGGCTATGCAGAAAAGAGAAACAAATATGTAAATCACAGTTCCACACACTCCCTTTCGCATCTTATTAACATAATATATCGCTTTATTTCAATCAAATTTGCAATTATATACAATCCTCTTGTCTGTGTTATCAGACGCACCTTAATTTCTTACAATTCGTTGATCCCCGAGAATCAGCTTTGTAACACGACTCGTCTATCGATCGAATTATGCCGAGGAATCGTGATTCTATAAAAGGTATTTTTTTAATGATTCCTATCGAGTAAACATAAAATTAGCAGCTTTTCTTCTCTTCCCAAGCCGCGTTCTATTAAAAGTGTGTCTAATAATATTGCCAGGGACGATACATTCGCGCATCGAGTCGACGTGACGACACCCGAAAAGTGTGCTCGTCCCGATGAATGAAATCGCTGAGCTCACATATTGTTTCACGTGTCGATTTGGTGAAAGGCATTTGTCCGTACGCGGATCATCACCGCTGTAATTGACTTGCGTCCGTGCGCTTTTTGCGAACGCAGCTCGTGAATTATATGTCATCTGTGTGTGTGTACGCGAGATAGCCGCGGAATAAATTGGAGCAACTCGAGCGGAGGATTTGCGTTTCGTGAAAAGGATCTTGCTTTAATGATATCAGGCACGATCTAATGAGCGAACTCTTTTTCCGCGAGTTCGATCCCCGTTGAGGTCAAGACACACTCCACTCCGGTATTAATACCGCCACGAAGAAGAAGCGTACCGCTTTAATAGGGCCACTTAAATCAGCCGAAGAGGCGAACACGTCCTGAACGAAAACATCCACAAAGACCTGAGTCGTCGAATCTGTTGTGGACGGCCCATAAAACCGAATGCCCTTCGGCGTGCGTTAATAACTTCCAGTCGAGATAACACGAGCAGCTTTATATCTAAAAGGCAGAATATCCCGTGATTTGTGCGCGGCGCGCGAATGATCGCGCCGACTTTGTACTTCGTACGATGTGCCCTGCTTGCGCCTTTCGTCCTCGAAGGATTTAGTGAGAGGATTGCGAGAGATTGGAGGGAGATCACACATACACACGTATGCAAAACTAACATAGGTAAACCGACATACTAATGTTTCTCGATTGTAAAGTACTGAACTCTGTCGGACAGAACACGGACTTTGTCTATTCGTTTATATTACTTGGAGCTAAAGTGACAATTTCCGCTTGCAAGCACATTCGGTCGTGTTTTTAGCGTCCTTTGACTTTTCATTGTGCTGAAGTTTTTGTTGAGCTATCTTTCATGAAAATGAAGATGACGATGAGCAATTTATTTTGTACACTATTGTCGCGCAAAGTTCCAACTTCAGCTTCCTCTGCTTAAGGCTTCTATTTCCTTGATTAATGACGTCAGAAGCGAGAAAACGTATGTCTTTTCTTAAATATGTTGAAATAGAAGAATATAGAATAAATACTTTGCGATCGATTAGAGTATTTTGCAAAACATTCCGAAAACTTTGTATCTTAATAATCAACGGATAGCCTGAAATTAACGTGACAAAATTATGAGAAAAGCTAGATTGAAAACGAAGATTGAATGTCATGCATCAATTTTACGGTTATTTATTGATTGTTGAAGCGAAAGGAAAGTTTCCGGAGTATTTTACAGATATGTTCAATTAATCACGTGTGTTAATTTACGAACATATCCCTTTGCTTCGATGTATTTCGCGAAGTATTTTGGCTGAGCGTTTCCTCGCTTCAGACGTCGACAAGCAAGACGATCGTAGCGAAGGGCCGCGAGCCTTAAACGAGAATTATAGGTCTCGATTTAACAAAAGGACTCACTAGAAAATTTGCAACAAGCTCCGGTCGTACGTTAAACACGTTGAACTACACCTCTAAAGTACACAGTACACCCTCGAGAATATATCCCGGAAGACGGGAGTATAAAGTGTATTAACTCGTCAAAGTTGGCGGGAATGTCTGCGAACTACTATTACGTGTTCGCGAGAATACGTGCCTCAATTGTGGAGTAATGCGAAATTCGAAAATTAGTTTTCTTTGCCCCCGACAGTGCCCACCAGCGGCGCAACTGACAAAGTATATTAGCGGAAAGTGCCGGCGGGAGTGCTTATACTTCGACGTGTACAAAGAACATTCGGCACATATTACGACAGTCGAGTTTAACTTGTCGCATTTGAAAGTTCGCGTCTCTCACGGATTTTCGTCACACGATATACATTCGTTCCCGCCGTGGTTTTCTTTCGAGGAACACTTCGGAAACTCCATTGAAATTTGTCAAGCTACCTACAATCCGCGGGGAGCCAAGTCGAAATTTCGGTTATGTTAAATCTTGAATTCCACAACATTGTAGAGACTAAAATCGCGAAATCAGTTCAATTTTAATTCTATTGGTGCAATTTACTCCTACCTTTGATCATGGTGACGCCTTAAGTTTCCTGTTTTTGGCGTCACCATAGGTCGTTGTAAATACTCGTGCGAATTTAATAAGCGAAATATCGAAGGCAACTTACAGGTAGCGTTGAAATCAAATCTATAGGATTCAAAGTTTAAGAGAGGAATTAACAAGTGTGGTATCATCAAAGTAAGTTTTTTAACAGTCTATAAGCCATCTAAATAGGCGCGAACTATCCTGCGCGGCGTCGAAGCAGCGTCAGAATTTCGACGCGGAGAACGCGGCTGAAAGTGAAACGGCGGTTTCACCCCAATCGAAATTCGACGCTATTTTGACGTCCTTAAGGATAGTTTGCGCCTACTTTGGTTAGTCTGCAAATAGAAATTTTTCACGATATTGGAACTTATTAACTTCCTCTTTGAATCTTTCATTTCACAGGTTACATTTTAACGCTACCTCGAGTAACTTGATTTTAACGCTGAAACAGCGAAAACGACGGTCTAAGACGATTTATGAGGATCAACGTAGAAATCAATTATATTATTAGAATTGAAGTTGCGTGAATTTCCTTTGCTATCTCAGCTCCTGTTGTGTCGTGGAGTTAAAAGTTTAACATAGAGTCGATATTTCGGGTATTTGGGATACAAATTTGCCTGTTTCACTGAACGTAAAATCGAAATAAAGTCTCTCGCGTGCATTCTTCCGCGGTTGAGGAACCTGGTGAGATTTTCTGTTGCATGCACCGTTAAGGTGGATAAGCCACAGCGCACATACACGCGTATACTCCCCTCCCCTTCTCATACCCCCGTAGTTCAATAGTTCCGCCGGACCGTTCTCGTAGATTGCGAAGCTACTAGCTCCGGGTGAAGGGTCGCGTATTTCACACCCAGCGGTCAGTACATATCTATATATATGTGCAAATCCTGCATGCGCATTGTATGAAGACGTATGTGTGGCCGGGTACAAAATATTGCGCTATCTTTGAGGCGATACAGGGCATACTTCAAATTCGATGGATTTTATCGGGATTTTCTCGCAGGAAAAAAGAAAGGTGAAAAAATATCGAGCACGGCTGCGCTGTCCCAAGAATTGTCAACAATTGCATCTAATCAGGCCTAATGCATTATCTCTTGCGATTCCATCGATCGTTTGTACAAACTGCTGATAAATATGCGAATTCAATTTGATTATGATTTCATATTACTGATAATAACTTATTTGCGATCATGATTATTCTCCTATAGCAAAATCTACTTGGTACACGGGACGAAATACCGTTGTATCGATAGAATTGGCCAATAACGTCATAATTGGAGCAAATCTTTATTCGAATAATATTATCGAAACTAACACTACAGTTATTAAAGCAATGTGTGATATACTAGTTCCAATAATATCGCTATTGAATCAAGGATATTTACTCCAATTATTAGCCGCTGCCGGCCAATTCTATTGATACAATATCATTTTTCTCCGTGAACAGATTAGTTTAGTTTGCGCGGAGCAACGTTCGACTTGACGTTCCTGTTTACATCAATTAATGCGCGTATAAAATGCTGTCGTTTATCAGAAAAAAAAACGTCTCGTGTCCGGAAAAGTGAAAGAGTCCTCGCGTAGTCGGAATATAAATTTTCCAAAATTAAAGGTACATCTTACACAACATAAAATCGATGTCTCGAGTGCATCCCTTCGTGTATATACGGACTAGTCGGCAACTATTTCAAAGTGGGTGCTTACAGGCTCGCAAAGTGGGCGGAACGGGGGTAAGAGGTGAAATGCTTCTCTTCGCTATGAACTAACGAATACGAATCGTTATCTCAACGAGGGAGTGAGATTTATCGCGACGTCGTAATTCAGGCATTCGACTTTTGACTGCCGGGGCAGATCTCCGTAATGTTCCTTTATTGTGCCGGCCTCGTATTCGACATCAGAGGTATAAATTTCACACGTTCAACCGTTCTGCACGTGCGGGTCTCGACCACCCTCCTGGGTTGCCGGAGGGATTTTAGATAGTATAAACATGTCTACCCTTGTGATAAAAGGCACGATCGCTAAAGGAGCCTCTACTGCCCATTCGTTGGCGGTGGCCTCGTGATTTTTTCACTGCGCTCGTGCGACCTGTATTATAGACGTGCAAAATGGATGCAAGCGGCGGGAGGGACCGCCGAAATTTCGGGAGCAAGAATCCGGCGGTCGAGTTGAAGAATGAACAACAATTCACCTACCAATCGTTAAAACATTTTGCGAAACTACACCTGCCCCCATCGTTTCCGCGATTTACCGGTTCCAATAAATCACACTCTTTCCCAACGGAAGTCGGAAATTCGCCTGGGACGACTTTTTGTTACACAACGATTCGTCCCGTCGTTTTACATAATGACACGCTAAGTCCACAACTCGAGGGGAGCGCACGGGATATAGAACGCGGACGTGTGTATGTTAAGCGGCGCCCTCGTTTTTAAAAACGGGCGGAACATAAAAGCCGGCTTATTTACAGTGGCGGACAATTCTACTATGATTTGATTGACAGATATTTTCGAACCGGGGGAGACACGTAGCCTTGCTTACTTTGGATCCGTCGGCTGTTTGTCCGCGGCTCTATTTTGACCTCACCGAAATGACAAACATTTTCCTGTCATCCCTCGAAGCGCAAACCAGGATTCACACTGAACTGTCGCTCCCGTATTTCGAATGAAATAATATATACGCGGGAATTTCGGCAGCGCTGGAATATTCAAATGCGCCTTCGCTATCGGTACCATTGTAATCTCTCTGGCGACATGATATGATCGGGATGTTCGGAAGATCGCGCGCGCGCGATGGAATCGCGAAGGAACCGGAGAGGATTATCTCGATTCCATTTATCCGGGATTAACCCGGGAACGGTCACTTTATTTCTCTTACGTAAACGATCACCTGGGGTCATTCACTTTCCGGGGTCATTCAGATTCCAATTAAAAAGCGCTATTATTAACAAAATATAACATATCATCGATTATTCTATGATTTATTGTTATTTAGAGACATTGTAAATATAGATTTACCCGTAATTCTTTGCAAAAAATGAGAGAAAGACAAAAGAATATTTAGAAATCGGAATAAGCACGTCAACTGTATTAACTCTTTGCACTCGAGGGCTCCGGAGCAGAGCCATTTAAAATTTGTCTTCAAATTCGAGGGCTCCGCTATGGAGACAATGCAAATAACTTTCAGTTCATAACATAAGGACAAAGACAGATCGTAAAAACTATTGTGTATAGGATATTCCGTTCTTGCTATTTGCATTTGAGTTTGAAGAGTTTGAAGACAAATTTTAAATGGCTCCGCTCCGGAGTCCTCGAGTGCAAAGGGTTAAGTGTCTTATTACAGTAGAGCATTTCTAAATAAATGAAGATATCAATTTAAAAAGCGCCGTTTTATTGCTTTTTCCGATGGAATAAGATATTTGAAGGTTCATAAGGAGTAATTATTAAAAAAGATTGAGAATATATTAAATAACATTAACTTTATAAGAATGTAAAGCGAGGCTAAATCGCGGTCATACAAAGTTACTAGTATTGATTCAGGATTGTAAAAAATTACTTATTTTTACATTTCTTCATTGCATTATATAAATATATAACATGACGAATATTTTTAAACAAAATATTGCACATAACACAACAAATATTAAATATTTTTAAACAAATATTTAAACAAATTAAACAATAATTATAAATCTTTAAGAATATAGATATTTGTATATCTAACATTAAATAAAAAGTGTAATTTAAGATATTCACTTCACTTATAATAAATGTTAACGTTAACTATATATGTTAATTATAAACAATAAATACAGGAACAGTCATCTGGGGTCATTTTATATCCCAGTGTGTTTTAACAGGCTCATATTATGAGAATAAGCCGGATCACAGCCTATTTTTGTTCCGCAGGTTAGGTCTGAATATCCAAATGAAAAATACACGTTGGTTCCCAATCAGTAAAAAAAAGTCCACTGCGACGCGAACTTCATTTTCCGATCGCTGAGATATGAAATGAGCCCAGCTGACTATTAAAGCGCGCGGCTTACAAAAGTATCCACGGACCGAAGATTCAAAGCAGCGCGCCCGGTAAGACCGGCGCGCTCTAACTAAAAACTGTAACTTAATGACCCAGCCGCCACTTCGCATCGTCCTTGTTTGCCCGACTTCGCCCTTGTTGTTTGTTCGATCGGTACGCTTAATTAAAAGGCAAGGAGAAACAAGGAAAGAAGAGAAGGTCGAAGGGAAGAGCAAGTGGCGCGGCGGCGAATAAAACCGCAGGACGCCTTCCCCGCGATTTGAAAGAACCGTGGAAACGTCAGTCGGGTTCTTTCTCTTTCGCTCGCGCGAAACAACGTCCTACCGAGCGGACGAAGAATTTATAATTAATCTTCTATCGCCGGCTCTCTCTCTCTCTCTCTCTCGTTGCCCCTGGCGACTCGATAGCCGGCGGATGCTTTGTTCGAATAAATGAGGAAATTACGACGAGTACACGCGGCTCGCGAATACAACGCGAGGCGAAGCGCCGGGGGATTTTTATTGAAAGCTTTCTTGGCCGCCGTTTAATTTCGTACGACACTCGTCGCCGAGATCGCCCGTATAGAATACGTATGATTCACGTGTACTGTGTACGCGCGCGTCTCTCCCTCCCCCCGAAACGCAGGCGCCGTGTGCAATAGTTGTTATGTTTATCTTCAGCATAGTCAATATTATTCAACCGAATAGAGAGTGCGCGATTCCAAGATAGAACTGCACTCGCTGTAAATAGGTAAATATGTATGCCGTTGTGTACAGTTGCGCGAAACTGAATTTCAATTCCGTTATATTCCATTTATATAAAAGCGTCTCTCTCTCTCTCTCTCTCTCTCGTTCTGTCGGCCTCTTATATATCCTCTATTATCTTACAAACGTAACGAAGGCACCGTGCAGCGTCCGCTTGTTTCAAATATATATTACGAGCAGGAGACTTTATCTTTTAACGGCGGCTCCTTTATTAAAATCGGAGACGACTGCGGTCGACAGTGTCGGCGTTTATTCGGTAATTAGTCTCGAAGGAGCGCGCAGTCTCCTTCCAAAGTGTGCGCTCTTATTTCGCACGATTCAGACTACATTTGTAATATCGCAAGAACGTCAAAGCGGCATTCAAACTTCGACTCGGCATAGCGAAATAAGTGCGCGTCGATACACTGTAATTTCGCCGCTGAATCGCGCGGTATCGCGATTTTCAACGCGGAGATCGATATTCCTCCTTTTCCGAAGGCTGCGCACAGTCCGTCTTTCTCTACTGAGCGAACACTTCCGCGCCACGGACGAGTTTAAAATCCTGGCGCATCCGCGTTTTCAATATCTCACACATTCTGGGAGAAGCTTCGGCCGGATAATGCAGCATTTATCTCCCCAAACGGCCGGCAGCAGCATAGACTTCTTTGAAAAAAAAGAAAAAAAAACAATGAGGAGCATACAGGCTGCTGTAGAATCGTAAAATAGCAGTCGGCGAGGATGGACGGATGTCCGCTTGACCGGGTCGTCTATTCGGGGGGGGGGGGG